TTTTCACTACTGTTAAAGGGATAGTTCACCCAAAAATTTAAATTGTCATAATTTACTCAAGTTTTTTCAAATTCAATCCTTGATTCAAATTTCTCATAAGTTTAATTGATTTGGTCTAAAGAGAGAAGAATGAATGACTATTTTTGTTTGAAGACTACATATAACATAGCTACCAAAATAAATGTTGTTAACTGCAGTTTGACTAAAAGTAATGACTAAAAGTTGACAAAAATGCAATGACTTTTCGTTGACTAAAACTAGACTAAAACTATGAAAGACTCAAATAACTAAAATGTGACTCAGACTATTAAGCATTTTCGTCTCAAGATAAAGACTAAGACAAAATCAAAAATGCCTGTCAAAATTAACACTGCTTTACAGCTTTCAGTGGTTCAAACAGCTCTGTACGTTCACGATGGAACGGTTCATAGTTTTTCCAGATAGCACACGTACGTCTGCAAGATGTCTGTTAAAGATCACTTCATCTGGAAAGCATCTGCTGTGTACAACCATCTGATAGACTTCTTTAAGATGTCAGTTTTACATACATTCTAAATCATAAACATCTTAAAAACATCTTCTAAACGTCTATTTGACATCTGATAGGAAACGTCCTATAGACGTATTGCAGATGAGAAAACGCTCAAAAAAAAAAAACGTCTTGCAGATTTTAAATCGACGTCTCCGTGATTTACGTGTCAACATTACTTTTAACAGACAATCAGATCACGTTAAGTTTTTCTGCCTGATACAAACCCATTATAAAGAAAACGCTTAACGTTGCTGGATGAAGACAGCAGTATAAAAAAACCCTAATTTGTTATACAGTTTATTTAAAATGTATACTATGTACAGGCAAGCAGATGAACCCAGAATATGAATGCATGAAACGCTTAACTGCACGCTAAGCGATTTCCTCCCATACACATTATAAAGAAAATGCTTAACATAATGGATGAAGACAGTGATAAAAAGACCAAATCTGGTATACAGTTTATTAATAAAATATACTACGCACAGAAAAGCAGAATAGCCCAGAATATAAACGGAATGTGCAAAGTTTCACATTATAACGGTTTTCTACGGGGGAGAAAATGCTAAATCTGCAATATAGCTTGTTGAGTTCATATTCTAGGCTCTGCTTGTCTGTAAAAAGTATGCTTTAATAATAAGGTGTGGACTGAATTTGGCCCTACAATGTCACTGTTTTAGTATATTAAGCCACATGTTTTTCCTGTTAACCGTTTTAGAATTTGCCAAATCCATGCCTTGAACTAAGCACTGACTGAATTTCTTTGAGTTTAAGTTCAAAATAAAACTCTTTAGAGGCTCCGTATATTTCTTTATACTTGAGTTCAAGTTCAAAATAAAACTCTATGAACCGCTCCATTGTGGACATACGGAGCTGTTTGAACTACTGCAAGCTGTAAAGTGTTTGTCCGAGCTCAACAAGTTTTTCGATGGAACACAAATATCTTTGCGAGAGAACATTTGTTTGTAAATTTAGGGGCTCCGTAGCAGTGACTGCATGGCCTTGGTTCCGCCAGTGTTTTTCTAATTAATTTTATGCTTACACATAAAATAAATAAATAACTATTACAAACTAAGCCAAAGAAACTAGCTCAGAGATGGAAAAAAAGGGTTTGAAGCAAAAAGTATTGTTTAAAACTATAAATTCTTATAAGATGAAACTATTTGCAATGCTTTCTGAGATGACTAGTTAAAGTTATTTAATAAAAACAATATTCTAAAATAAATAAAAATAGTATTCTAAAATAAATGTCCAAATAAATAAATAAAAACGCGTAAGAATAAAATTAAGTAAAATAATATAATACATGTTTAAAAAAAATCTTAAAATGATGTGAAAGCAGATGCTATTATGATGCATTATACACTTAAATATATATATATAGGTTGATAGCATTCTAATGCAGTTATTAATTAAGTTATTAGAAAGACAGCGAGAGAGACAGAGACACACAGAGAAGTTTCCCTGAAAATAATTGCACACCTCAGAACGTTCGTCAGCCAATCAGATTCAAACATTCAACGGCCCCCGTAGTATAAATATATATAATTATATAAAATGAATAGATTTAAAAATAAACATTTGAATATAATTAATTTTGAATATAAAATGTAAATGAATAAAACAGTTATACTGAATGTTATAATGAATTAGCTTTATGATTTTCTTGGTATCTTGACTTCTCTGATTGGCATTGTTGTCTGTTAACATTGTTAAACTATTAGAAATGTTGCTCTGGCAACTTACTGAAATAATTGTAAGTGACTAATATTACTAAAACAAAAAGCTGAATAGGAATAGTTAAACAATATTTAAAATTAATAAAAATGATAAAAGCACATGGAATTACTAAAACTTAAATGAAAACTGAAAATATTATTCAAAATATTAAATATCATTAAATATAGCATTATTAAACATTATAACACTATACTATAATACTAAAATAACACTGCTAACTGAATGATTTTTTAAGGGAGTATGGGTAATGTAGTTCTTCAGTGGGAATTCTCGTCTATTGTTATATACCTGTACATACAATTGTCGATTTGTATATATTTTTTCTTTATTTACTTGTTCTATTTTTTATTTATTTATATTTTTTATTATCTTTTTTTGTTGTTGTCACTTGTCATTCTGTTACACTGTGGAAGCTTCTGTCACGAAAACAAATTCCTCGTATGTGTAAACATACCTGGCAATAAAGCTCATTCTGATTCTGAATTTATCAATTAATTAACATAAAATTAATTTATGTTTTTTCTAACTGAAATCACAATGATTTGTAGCTACTACAGAAGTATAAAATCTGCGGTAGCTCATGATAGTTTAAAGGCATGTACGTAATTGTAACAAATCATTTTCTCTGGATAGAATGAATTGAATTTCCAGAAGCTGACAGTCGTGTTCCATATCATGTTTATCAAGGCATGAAACAACATCCTGTGTGTTAGAAACGTAATTAAAAGGTCCTAACGAATAAGAATAGTTTGGTGTCAGCGCCCATCATGGTACAGTATCTGGCGTTGGTACATGCTGAAATCAGCACACTCTATTATTTAGGTAATTGCTTTTCAGTACCGGCACAGAGGAGAAAAAGCTGAGCCATTCGTCTCGTATGCAGATATTGAGCAAATGTTCTTATGCTAATGAAATGTCTTTTAAAAGATTGTTGTGGGACATTCATTCTGATCCTAAACTGTGCTATTAATACCTATTTGCCCTTCCGTTTCTCGAGATGGCAACCCTCTCCCTGTGATGAAATGTAATTTTTAATTTCTTCAGGAAGGGATGAAAAATGGATGATCTTAGAGGTGCAAAAGCCGGAGTCTAGATTGCCTGCAGCTTGCAAACAGGTATTACAAAATAGAGCCATTACGGCAACATCAGGCTGCAAATGAATTTGAAATTGAGTGGAAAACCACGCATGCGGAGGGTTAGACTCTTAGCTGCCTTGAAGGGAATTATAGCGAGGAAAATATTCACGCCCTAAAAAAGGGCAAAAGTAAATGAAAGAAGGGGTGACACTTAGACCAATACACTTTCAATTGCCTAGACCAAAAAGATGCAAATCAGGTTTTCACTAAGAAAAATAGTGCTTACAAGTAAAAGATCTATATTAATGCTGCTACAGGAGTACATTCAAGTAGATTCAATCCCCCACAGAATGTGATTCCATTGGCTGAAAGATCTGGCTTTGAGATTTTTGTTTTTGTTTTCTTTTATA